TTCGTGGGTGGTAAATATCTGCAGGCAATCTATGGGCATATGAATTCCGACACGGTACGCGTTAAGGCGCCACGAGTAATGCAACTGTACTGCTGAAGCGAATACGCATGCACTTTAGCGAAGTAAAAAAAAAATGAATGAAGAACGTGATAATGTGGGCTGCGCAATCACCTGTATTTCGGGTGCTTCAACCAGTGCCGGCCGATCTTCCATTAAGGCGTAATGGGCCACTGCCAGAACGTTTATATTGAGGCATACATGGGCAAATGCCTCATGGTCGATGATGCATACTCTTTCTCCTAGTAGGCTGTCAATTTTCTGCCCCTAGTGGCAACACACAGATTCGAGAGCCGTGTCCATGGGGTGGCAGTGTCCGCAGTTGCACCTGCGGTAGCAGCGGAACTGCATGAGCATTTGCGCTGCACACCATCAAGTGCAAATGGCCTGCAGTGCTAGGTAGTCGTGTAAAAAAAGAATTTAGCTTTTCCTTTTTAACGTTTGCAGTCGTCTGTGTTAAAATAAACGTGCAGTGACTGTAACTCCTAGCTTCCGCTGATTTCAACAATATTCTAAAGCGTACGTTGTGCTATTGAGCACGATGTCGCCGGAAAAAATGCCGGCCGCAGCAGCTGCGTGTCCTTGGCGGCGACTATATTTATAGCGCAAGAACAGAACGACGACAAAGAAACAAGGAGGACACGAGCATTTACTTCCAACTGTGTCCTTCTTGTCTTTTTGTCTTCGTTCTGTTCTCGCGTTATAACTATCGTCATGTCATACCAACTAGACCAAACTGCCACACTTCTTGGCGGCGAAGTGAGAAATGCCCGTGTGCTTGCCTTGTACAGCCCGTTGTAAGAACTCCAGCTGCTCAATATTGAGCCAGAACCTTTGAATATGGCATGCCTCGTGATTAGAACTGGTTTTCGCTCGTGATTCACGAGAACGTAAGTTATTCAGTGTATTTCTTTTGTACCGAGAACTTCAAGGGCTCCTAGGTGGCAACTGATGAAAAAAAAGCAAACGTGGAAAAGACAAACGTACTTAGGCTAAATGAATTCTATTGTATAGAGTTTGCGCATGAATGTGTCGTGTCTTACCATTCAACGTTTCCTCGTAAATAAGAAGAAAGAAAAGTGGATGAAAAAATGACCAGCCGTGAGCAGGAATAGCACGGCTGGTTATTTTTTCATCCACATTTGTTTCTTCTTATTACATTTTATTGGTTCTAATAACTTCATATATATATATATATATATATATTATATATATATATATATTTATATATATATATATATATATATATATATATATATATATATATATATATATATATATATATATATATATATATTATATATATATATATATATATATATATATATATATATATATATATATATATAGGTAAAGTGCTTCGTTTTCTTTTCGCAACGTGATCACCTTGTGTTGACAACTGAATGCACCTTGCGAACCGAAAAATTTCTATCGAGCTACCGTAAGGAACAATACCCGGAAATTCTGATTCTGAACTGCCTGTTGAGTTGCTATACACTGGAGTATCTTGCCTTACGCACGAATAATTGTGTGAATAAATGTTTCTTTTCGATAACGCTTATTGCTACTCATCGGCATCGAAAAAAACATGAATGAATAATGTTTATCAGTTGTACGTATATATACAAGGCAGTGTCAGTTATATGCAATAAACGCAACATCATAGTTGTAACTGGACTGGAAGTTGTAACTCATTCTTGTGGTCAGCTGACGATTATGCACAACAGAACCTCATTGTAATTTAATTACTAGAAGTTTCGTTAGTACCGTAAACGAACATGCACAATCAACGAAATGAATAGCTAGGGAATTTTGTGCAGCAACGAGTAGTGCAATTAGTTGGCCAAGAAGTCTGGGCTTTTGGCATGGTCAGTGGCAAAGTACACCCGAAGTTTATTGTAACATGAATTGGAAAATGATGTCGGAAAAGTGCCTCGGTGTGCCTTTGGATCATTACCGCAATGCTACTGAGTATTGGTATGAGGAAAATAAACACATTAGAAATTATACTGATAAGTGGGGTGGCCACAATTTTTCAATGTTCGCCAGAGCGTCCGTGTGCAATGTATTTTTGGTTGCAAAAGAGTTCTATGTATTACATGTGTTAACCATGACGCGTACTTCAGTCCAAAAAATGCACCGAGTATTTGCGTTTTTATATGGGGATCGCAGTGGGAGCGCACGAGCCGGTGCAATCTATTTCATAGGCTAAAATATGGTGGTCATTTGTTTTTCAAGCAGTTGGTAAGCAGATTCATGTTTGCTCGAGATCAGACTGATAATTTCTTGAGAACAGTGATCCAAGCAAAACTGCAAACCCCTTACCTGATTTTGTCGTGTCATCCTTTTCTTTCAAAGATTGACCACTCAGTCCTTACTTGCGAGAAGTAGTTACGGCTACACGCCTGCTCAAGGAAAGGTTTGCGCACGAATACTTGTCCGGCGTGCCCAAAAAGAAACTGTATCGTGACCTTCTTGATATCTTCTTACCAGTGCACGTCTATCGAGCTCCGTACAGGCTACGTTCTGAGCGTGACGTGTTAAAGCGTGTTAAAAGAATGCCGGTAAGACCCTCTGTCAAAACATTCTCCTTTCAAGTGCATACCGGCACTCTCCCTGTACTGCCATGGCTAAAATCTAAGGGGTTTTTTGCACCGTGGTCCGTCAACTTTCTGATCTGTGGTGAACCGGAAACGATAAATCATATCTTTCTTGATTGCCATGATGCTGTTTTCTTGTGGGACGTACAACAACGGACTCTAAAAAAAGGTCTACCTATAAACTCCTTCGGAATTCGTTTTCTTCCGTATGCAGCTGCAGGGGAAGTGCTGAGTGATATGTTAATGTTGCTTTGCATGCATAGTGTGTGGAAGACAGGAATGGATGTTCGACATATCCGTATAGACGCTCATTCAGCGAGAGACTGTTTTGTTGAGAGTATGCTGTATACACGAGACTTGTATGAAGCGCAGCCTGAGCCCCCCGAGCGCGAATATCACCTCAGCGGTGCGTGTTATTGCGTGTTTCCGTCGCGGCAACGCTGTTCACTTCACGTTCGAGGGCACCGCTGTTCCACCCGAACTGTTCCCCTTCAAACAGTGTAGGCTGGTTCGGGTGCGCCTTCCTCGCCCATACAGTGCGCGCGCTGTGGAATCTACGGGCATGCCACGGCGACATGCTCGAGGGGCAAACGCTGCCTGCGCTGCGGCAAGAACCACACCGGAGGCCCATACCCTCTCGAGCACCCAAACTGCCTAAATTGCCGGGGCACTCACACTGCCAACGAGCCGCGCTGTACATCCTGGCAGCTTCAGCGCAAGGCGACGTTCATTCTAGCCTCCTCCAACGGCAAGATCACGCGTTGTTGCGAAGCGCGCCTCCGACGACGTTACGAAGGGCGCCACGAATCTCAACGCTGCACCCACTGTTTACGAAAGACGGTGACGCCAGCACGGTCCCGAAGGCGCCACTGCTCCGATCTCCGCCGACATGGTCACCAGATGTTTGGTAGCGTAGGTTTCTCAGCTCGCGACTGTTTCTTGATAGACGAGTGGACGAGACGACGGTGAGTTAAACAAGGTTTATGTACAGCATACATACAGAGGCGTTACAAATTCGGCACGGGGCCGACAGCTTAGAGACCCGAAGAGCCGAGCTCTCCTCTCTAACACATAGGTCTGCTTTCAAATGGGTCTGCTACTCGCGACGCGCCGCAGAGTTTCTTTTATATGCACCGGGTGGATTCTTTGAATAACCAAATGTCCAACCAGAAGCGCCGCTGGTCGTGAGGTCAGAATCCTCTAATGGTGTCGCCGCTGGGCCGCGTCATTCTTTCTCATCGAATCTGGAGAGGCTGAGCTGCAGGTGGCTGCACCCAAGGACGAGTGACGTCGCCAGGCATTGCGTCAGACCCGCCAGACAGGAAGGCGCCGGTTGCTTGCTCGACGGGCTCGCTGGCTGAAATGACTCACTGTGCGTGCGCGGCAGAGAGGCACCGCCGCGTGTTGACGTCGGTGAGTTGTTCGCGTCAGGCGGGCTCGCGGGCTGGCCTTGACACAGATTTCCTTTTTTCAGAGACATGGACGTTCGTTGTGGACTCGCAGGCATAACAGCGTCGCGAGGCGCTCCAGCGTGCTCAAGCGTCGGCCCAAACACCGCTGACTGGCGCCCCGGCAACAGCGGCCCCTTGCTCTTTTCGTGATGCCCTTGGGAGCAAACATGCGGTGGTTGCAACACCCACCGCCGCCATGGAGCCATCACCTCTACCAGTCTCCACGGGTGACCAGACGGACGCTGTGATCACGGTACTAAGCACGGGTCTTCGTGCGCTTCTAGCTAGTGTTTTGTGCGACCCGAACACGCGTCGCATGTGCGAAGCGGCCTTGTCCGCACAGCAATCACTCCCCCAACATGGCTAGTGCGTCAAAGAAGCCGCGGTCGCGGATTTCGTAGTGGAACGTGCGTTCCCTCCGCCGCCGTAACTTTGAGTTCGCCCGCTCACTGCCCCAGCGTGACCTCGACGTCCTTGCATTGCAAGAGACGCGAATTCGTGCTGGAGCTCTCAACCTCCCAGGGTATGTGGCGTACCACGGCGCAACGGCCTGTAAGAACAACGCGTGCCTAAGCACGCACAGTTTCGACCCGGCGCGCCCACAGGGCGTGGCAAGGGCCTCTATCTATGTGCGCGAGCGCCTTCCCCAGGTGCTTCTCGACGTTTCGGATATCGTCGGTGCGGGCATCGAGTGCGTTTCAGTGAGGGTGCGTGTTGGCACGACGAACACATGTGTGGTGAGTGGATATGCTCACTCGTCGCGCGAGTGGGACGCCGAGTTTACTGTGTGGCTCGCCAATCACCTCGGGAGGGCTTCCGTCTTGTGCGCGGACTTCAACTCCCATCACACTGCGTGGGGTGCGCGAGTATCAATGCCAGTGGATGGGCCTTGATGGATGCCGCCCTCAGAGCTGGACTTCACATAATCAACGATGGCAGCCACACATTTGTGCGCCCCGGTGCTGAACGCAGTGCACTCGACCTCACCCTCTTGACGGACGAATGCCCCTACTCATGGCGTCGCGCGCCGGACACTGAGGGCTCGGTTCACTATTTGATCCTCTTGGAGCCCTTTTATACCGGCGCTCCGCGCACCAATGTGTACAGTGTTGTGAACTGGCTCCGTTTCCGCGAACTGTGTGATGCAGTGCCAGTCGCAGGCGACTTTCTCCAACACAATGTGCAGTGCGCGAGTGGCGCCACGACGGTGTGTCGAGTGCCGACGGGCACGCCAGTGCCCGGCATTAAGCTCCTCAACCTTCGCGCAGCTCGCCGCCGGGCGCAGCGCAGAGCGGAACGTTCGGACAAGGCAGAAGACTGGACTGTTTACAACCGCATCGACGCGGTTTGTGGATGCCACGCCCACAAACAACGGGATCGTGGCTGGTCCAGCCTCTGCCGCACCTTCGATGACCCCCACTACCAGAGGCGTGCCTGGCGCGTGTTCCGAGCCCTCCTCCACCCCCGTGTGCCCCGGCATCCGGAGCTCTCCATCGTGGTCACGCTCGGAATCAGCACCGTGCAACTCGCCGAACTGCTGGCTGACACTTTCGCGAGTGCGCCCACTACCAGTGCAGTTTCCTGTGCCCGCGCTGCTGCCACATGCACGGCCCTAACTCTTTGCGCCGTTCCGCTTCTTCACCACACCAGCCATCGTAAAAGCGATCGGCGAGCTGTGCACGGCCGACTTCAGCATCCGGGAGCTTCGCGATGTGCTCGACTCACGGGGGCACCGCTCGGCTCCAGGGGGTGATGGCGTCACATATCAGATGCTCCGAAACTTGGATGCCACCCAGCTTCAGAATCTGCTTGATGCTTACAACACCATCTGGCGCACGGGGGCGCTACCATCCTCGTGGGGAGAAGCCTTAGTGATTCCCGTGCTCAAAGAAGGGGAAGCCGGAGTCCGACCTTTCATCGTACCGACCCGTTTCGCTCACTTTGGCTGCGGGGAAAACGTTCGAAGCTATGGTGCTCCAGCGCCTTCAATGGATCGCTTCTGCTTTTGATTTCGTCGCGGCTGAACAGTCCGGCTTCCGAGCCCATCGAGCGACAGCGGAGTCGATCTCGGACGTCGTTAGCCTTCTTGAGGAAGCCACGCACCGCGGGGAGGCGGGATACCTCATCCTTTTCGACGACAAGAGTGCTTTTGACTCGCTGCCACACAACACCATCTTCGACGCCTTATGTGAGATGGGTGTGTGCGGGAACATGCTGCGTTACGTCGAGGCTTTCCTCAGTGGCCGGTCTTTTCGTGTGCGCGTCGCCGGTCATCTCAGCGGACCTCGTGTGGTGTCGGCGGGTGGGCCGCAGGCCAGTGTGTTGAGCACCTTTCTCTTCAACGTAGCTCTCGCACGCTTCATCGACCACATCCCGCGAGGCACTGCATACGAGGTGCGTGCTGCTGTTTACGCCGACGACGTGGCGTTCTTCTCCAGTGGCCCCACCCTTCGTGGTCGTCAAGTCCGTAAAGGACTCCAGGCTGCCATCGATGCAGTGGACGGGTTCATCACGGGCATCGGGTGCCAGCTTTCCGCCGCCAAGACAGAGGCCATGCACGTCCATCCGAAGCGCACGGGGCGTTTCGATGTCCCGAAGCTCGTCCTTCGCGGCCACCGGCTGCCGTGGAAGCGCAGAGTGTGGTATACCTTGGTCTTACCATCGACCACCGGCTAAGCTGGAAGCCCACGCTGGCGTCCATTCGCAGCGACTCACGTAGGATCGGCAGCATGGCCTCCTGCATCCTCGCCAGTGCTCGGAGCTGCTCTCCGGATTTCGCACTGCGGTTTTTCAACGCGATAGCCTCGGCCAGGGTCCTCTATGCGGTACCGCTCGTCGCGCTACGACCCGCGCAATGGGACGCGCTGGACACCCTTCACCACGAAGGAATCCGTGCCCTTCACTGTGGCGTCGTACGCCGCCTGTATGGCCTGCCGCGCTCGTCGCCGATCGGCCCCACCCTGGCGGAGGCTGGCGAAACGTCCCTCTCACTCCGGGCGAGAGGCAGTGCGTTGCGCCACATTCCTCGCATGTACCTTACGCCCGAGGGACGACGCCTGGCTGGACGATTCCTCGATCGTCTCTACTCTGGAATGGGTTAGCGCGCCTTGGAGTACGCTGCGCTCGTGACCGAACCGCCTTACTGCGGCAGGCTCCCGATACCGCCGCACCAGGATCCCAGCCTTGATATCACGACCACAATCCCCGGCATCAGGTCAAAGGGGAACACACTCCAGTCTGCTCTCCACCAGGAGGCTCTCGCGATGATCGAGGAGCGGCTCGCCAGCCGAGTTCTACTCTACACTGACGGCTCGGTCGCAGCGGGTGGGTCGGCAGCAGCCGCTTGTTTTGCCTCATCGCTCGGCCTCGGCGAGAAGTGCCGGCTTCCCATCAGTGCGTCTTCCACTGCTGCTGAACTCGCTGTGATTGATCTCGCAGCAAATCAACTCGCCGCCGACTTCCTTCCGCAGTCGGCAGCAATGGTGTGTGACTCGCGTGCCGCCCTCTTGACCCTTGCGCGTGGACAGCGCGGCGCCCCCGTTGCGCAACGGCTCGCGCGGAAGTTCGCAGTGATTGTGCGGAGTGGGTGTGACATTGTTTTCCAGTGGGTTCCGTCTCATGTGGGGCTACTTGGAAACGAGACAGCGGACGCCCGCGTCAAGGAGGCTCACCACCCAGTCTCAGCGTACATCCGCGCGGGAGATGTTGCGCACCTCCGTATTGCGCGCCATGCGCGCGCTTTACACGCGGACTCACGTGTGGCTACAGGAAACCTCCCACGAACGCTGCCGAAGACCGGCATCAGAAGGCTGCCCGGGCCTTCCTGCTTCGGCTTCGCACCGACTTTTCCCGAACCGCTGGGAGGCGATTTGACTTCACCAACAGCGGAAGCCCTTCGTGTGCCGAATGCCTGGCGGTGGAGACGACCGAGCACATCCTGCTGCAGTACCCCGGCTACACCGAACAACGCCGGCGGCTCTTCGACGCCTACGGTCGTCTGGGACTGCTACATGTGAGCCTCGACCACCTCCGGGTTCCCCAGGCCCACTGCTCGGGGCTTGCGTGCCTTCGAGGCCCTATTTGAGTTCTTCGGCGACGCCGATCTGATCGTGCGCCTCTAGCGAGGCCCGCATCCACGTGTTGTTGTTCGTTCACGTCTGTGGCCCCGCCAGCCTCCTCCGACGCCGGTCACGTGGTGCTCCCACTCCCCGCCCCGCTCTGGCTTGCCTGACTGCTTTCCCTTTCCCGGTGGCAGCGCGTACCCCGCGCGACACAGTCGAATGCGCCCTTCTTCCTCCTATACTTTTCTCCTCCTTCTTCATCTCCCCCATCCCCACGTGGAGCAGTGTAGGCGCCTTCGCGTAGAAAGACAATAACAGCTCCGCGCTTTCCTCTTCTCTTTCATTTCAAGAACCTCTACAGCCCCCCAAGTGGTTACCTGTACTCGACCACTTGGCTTCCGTGAAGCCTTTTTTAAACCAAGTGCACTGGCCAAGCTGATGCTGGTGTTTTAATAAGTGTATATATTTTGCGTGTAATCCTTTTGCTTGTGGTTGTTAAAAAGTAATAAAGAAAAAAAAACCTCGTAAGCACAGTAGGCAGCGTGTTAGTCTTATAATCAGAAGGTCGTGAGTTCAATCCTCACCTGGCGCAAAGGCGGCGCAGTTTTTTTGTTTGCTTATGATAGTATAATAATGTTGTAAGAGGTGCGCTGTCTGGAGCAGTATTGAATCACTGTTGCTTGGTCTTTTTACTTTTTCAACCTTTCATTTGCGGGAACTAATGATACTGGTTGTGTTTCCCAGTGACACCTGTCTGCCTCAGTAGCGCAGTTTAAAGGAATGCAAGTGAGAGCTACCAAAAAAACATTTTTGTTCATGCTACACACGGGCACGCTTCCTGTAAAACAATGGCTAAAATACAAGGGAATATATTTTTGTGTCGTAAACTGCTACATCAGCAAAAAGCCGGAAACAGTTGATCGTAATTTCCTGGATTGCTCGGACTCTGTTTTCCTTTGGTATATTCTGCAAAGGACATTCAAACAGGAGTTCCCATTACCTCAATTCAAAGTCCGGTTTTTACCATTAGAAGATACAGGAGGTGTTCCCTACAACAAGGTGATGCTACTTTGCATGCACAGTGTGTGAAAAACACGAATGGTTTTTGAGAATCTAGATGTAAATATAAGGCCTGCCAGTGAATTCATTAAATAAAGTATTCTGTTCATTAGAGAAGTGCACAAATTCCTTACTGAACCACCAGAGTGGTTACCTGTCTTTAAACAAATGGCTCCGATAAATATTATTATTTTATACAGTCAGCAAGATACACTCACACATTGCACATTTTGATTTTTCGGCTGCAATGATACCATCTGTGCTGTCTAATGTCTGTATCGCTATGAACAGGTTTTAAATAAAGAAAAGCCTCGGTAGCGCAGTAGGCAGCGGGTGAGTCTCATAATCTGGTGCGTGGTTGGCACTCTAAATCGTTCTCGACGTCTTTTCCCCGTTACTGTAAAGCGTCTCTTATATCAGGCTCTTTTCCTAGCCCACTTGAACTACTGCGCTTTTAGTATGGGCAAACACTACGTCAACAAATTTAAATAGGCTAAAAATACTTCAAAAAATAGCAATCAGGGCAATAGAAAACATATCATACTTTGAACACACGGGACAACTCCTTGTTAAACATAAAATTGTTAAAACAAATGACATAAAAATTCAGGTTGTTACAATCCTATATTAGCGCAAACAGAGGGAAACTCGACGCATTCCTGACACTTGCAAATCTTGAACATACACTAACCATTTACTTCCATTGATATAAATCCCCGTGGAAAATTTCGTTATCTCGCACCAATAACGGCACCCAAAGGCTAGGCCACATGCTACCTACTATACTGAACTCATACGAGAAGCAAGACATAAAAATTGACACAATAAACAATATCAATGTGCAAACAATATCCTTCTAGACTTGTATTGTTTAAATAGGTCAATCTGTATTGCTTTGCATAATTTATTTTGTACCTTTATATATATATTTTTTCTCTTTATTATTTCTTTTGTGTAACCTCATTGTGTACCTTTCTTATGTACAAAAGCGATGATACATACTCTACGAATGATTGTGCTCATGTGTTTATGGAATATTCCTTTTTGTTTGTATACCTTAGCCTGTCATTTACATTGTCTTCTGTTTGTATTGTTTCTTGCTTTATAATATTTGTTTTTTCAATTTATTGTGTTTCGTTTTTACCCTGTCATTGCTGACGTAGGGTGGACGGTGCCTAGTCAAACTGCAACAACTGCAGCTTTTTTGCCGTCTCCCCATTTTTCGCCATTGTATCTGTTTTGGTGAAAATAAAATAAAGTAGAAATAAAAAAATAAAATAAATCTGAAGGTCTTGAGTTCAATCCTCACCCGGGCCAATGGCGGTGCAGTTTTTTGTTTGCTTATGAGAGTTTAATTAGTTCGTGAGGGGTGCACTGTCTGGAGCAGTAATGAATGACTGTTGCTCGGTTTTCTTATTTTTTCGACCTTTTTTTGTGGGAACTAATGATAGCGGTTGCGTTTCCCAGTGACCCCTGTCCGCCTCGGTTGCGCAGTAGGCAGCGCGTCAGTCTCATAATCTGAAGGTCGCGAGTTCAATCCTCACCCGGGGCAAAGGTGGTGCAGATTTTTTGGTTTGCTTATGAGAGTTTAATTAGGTCGTGAGGGGTGCGCTGTCTGGAGCAGTAATGAATGTCTGTTGCCGAGTTTTCTTACTTTTTCGACCTTCAACTTGTGGGAACTATTGATACCGGTTGTGTTTCCCAGTGACACCTGTCCGCCTCGATAGCGCAGTAGGCAGCGCGTCAGTCTCATAATCTGAAGATCGTGAGTTCAATCCTCAACCGGGCCAATGACGGTGCAGTTTTTGTGTTTGCTTATGAGAGTTTAATTGGGTCGTGAGGGGTGCGCTGTCTGGAGCAGTAATGAATGACTGTTGCTCGGTTTTCTTACTTTTTCGACCTTTAATTTGTGGGAACTAATGATCCCGGTTGCGTTTCCCAGTGACACCTGTCCGCCTCGATAGCGCAGTAGGCAGCGCGTCAGTCTCATAATCTGAAGGTCGTGAGTTCAATCCTCACCCGGGGCAAAGACGGTGCAGTTTTTCTGTTTGCTTATGAGAGTTTAATTAGGTCGTGAGGGGTGCACTGTCTGGAGCAGTAATGAATGACTCTTGCTCGGTTTTCTTACTTTTTCGATCTTATATTGTGGGAGCTAATGATACCGGTTGCGTTTCCCAGTGACCCCTGTCCGTCTCGGTAGTGTAGTAGGCAAGGCGCCAGTCTTAAATCTGAAGGTCGTGAGTTCAATCTACACCTGGGGCAAAGGCGGTGCAGATTTTTTGTTTGCTTATGAGAGTTTAATTAGGTCGTGAGGGGTGCGCTGTCTGGAGGAGTAATGATTGACTGTTGCTGAGTTTTCTTACTTTTTCGACCTTTAACTTGTGAGAACTATTGATACTGGTTGTGTTTCCCAGTGACACCTGTCCGCCTCGGTAGCGCAGTAGGCAGCGCATCAGTCTCATAATTTGAAGGTCGTGAATTCAATCCTCACCCGGGCCAATGGTGGTGCAGTTTTTTTGTTTGCTTATGAGAGTTTAATTAGGTCGTGAAGGGTGC